ACTGGAAGAACTGTTATTTTTAACGTCAAAGAATTTATTAGAAAATAATATTTTTAAAAGCGCACATAGTGACGAGCCCACACGGATGGAGCCTGTAGTTTGTACAGAGATAAACAAAGGATGTTTTTGCATTAATAAATTGAGAAATAACTGCTGTAAATTTACTAAACTGTATTTTTGAATATTTTGTAATAGTTTTATAGAAATAAAACGTGCCACGCACAGACTGGTTAGTACACGATGACTGAGAACGCCTGTCGCAGCCCGTTTCTTTGCTTTTCCCGCCTCTTTGCCTGTGACCCCTCGTGCCGGCGGGAGTTCCCGCTATTATGCTGAGGTTCGCTGCTTATACCGCGGACTCAGACCCGCTTCCGCAGGTAACCAAAGCAACTCGATGGTTTTCGTCACTGGAGAAACCTCGGCTCTGCTTGTATTTATCGCGTGAAAGTCTTTCTGCACTCCAAAGGTTGGGGGCGCTGTGCGGGGTGCGGTTCTGCTCCCACCCGACCCCTGAATGAGCACAGCCTAACCGGTAGGCCCGGGAGGTCACCTTGGACAGTCACTCAGGACTCCCGCGAGCCCTGCGTGGTTGTGGGCAGACTGCTCCCAGGCTCGGCTGCGTCTCCTCTGCTTTCCGAAGTCCTGGGGGCCTTTTGAGATCCCCCCAAGTTCTTTTCTGGAGGCTCCCCCATCCCCAATCTGTGGGGTGTACACTGGCCTGCCCTCAGTGGCCCCGACCTTCCCTCCTCTCCGATCTCGGCCACGAGCGTCTCAGGATGCCAGTGTCCTCGGGCCATGCTGGTTGTCGGGTGCGGGCTCTGTTTCCTGGGCGCCTGTGACGGGTGCCCTGAGTCAGTGGTAGGCTCAGCTGAGGGGATACTGTCCTGGCCATCGCTCCGGAGCTCTGGTTGTCTGGAGGCTACTGTCACACTTCGTGCTTGGCGTCCAGGTGCCCAGGCAGGCTGGGCTGTGCGGGCTGGGCCGCGGGTTTGGGCTTCTGAGCAGGGCAAGCCTGTCTGGAGGCTGGTCCGAATGTGGCCAGCGGAACTGAACCTGATGGCTTCGGTCTCAGTCCCACTGGGGCGGGCCTGGAGAAGCTGGTGGGGAGACGGGGCCTGTGGTCTCCGGGCGAGGCTTTTCCGGAAGGCCAGGGACCCGGCCGCGTGGCAGTGGGGCCGGGGTCCAGCATGACCCCTGGAGCCTGCCCTGGGCTTGGTTCCACTTCCAGGCCCTCTGGGCAGGAGCGGTTTGGGTTTTTCTCTGGAAAAGACGGTTGTTTGGGCCGTGTAGGTGGTTAGCAGGCTCAAGGCTTGCAAACCGTGGTGGCGCTCTGTGGCTTCTGTTGTCGGCTGTTCAGGGCTGTGTGTCAGGCGGCCGGAGGCACTGGGCAGCCCAGCCGCTCTGGCTGACAGCTCAGGCGACCCGCCCCGCTCATGAGCGGTGCAGCCCCATCGGTCAGGCCCTGGCAGGACCCAAAGCTGCCTATGCAACGCTCACAGTCCTGGCCGCCAGCTCTGGTGCGCGCAGCCAGGCCCAGGCAGCGCCCCCTCCTGGCCAGGCGCGGCGGCGCTGAGACTCACCTTACTTAGCCAGTCCTCCAGGCCACTTGTCAAGATTCTTTTGGCTTTCCATCCAGAATTCTCTTTTTCACGGGCAACGGAAGGGAGCCACCGCCCAGAGAGACGGAGCACAGGGCCCCACGAGGGCGCAGCCCGCTCCCCCCAGACGAGGCACCCCCTTCTCCGTCTGCAGGGTCCATCCGCGCCTGGGTGCTGCCGGCCCCCCTCGTGACGAACCGCACCCCGCTCCTGTCCAACGCCTGGGTCGGCTCTTCGTCGTCTATCATTGAACAGCTAAAGAAGTCGCGGAGACTTCCGGCCGTGTCTGTTCTGTGGCCGAGTCCCTGTCCCGCCCTGTCCCCTGCCATTCTCACTTCGCTGAGCGTGAGCGCAAAGGTGGCATCGTTTTCACGTCTGGGGGGCGTGAGCTCGCAGCCCCGGCTGCCCGGTCCAGCGCCGTTGCTGCCGGCCTCATGCCCACGCGGGGAATGCAGGGCAGACGCACATCCCACGTGGGTGGGCGCAAAAGCAACAGGGTGTCCGCTGGGGTGCGTGCCGGTGTCGCGGGGCGGGCTCCTGGTCAGCGCCCCGGGTTCTCCCACGACGCAGAACAGGGGTCGGTCAGTCCACTCAGGGGCGTGAGAGGCCCCGGGAAGTGACTTGCGTATGGCAGCCTACAAGCAAGTCGCGAAAACGCTTTGCGAGGCCCCCGGTGCCCAGGCCCTCTGCGGAGGGACATTTCAGGACGGGCGGCAAACCGCAGCCCCGCGACCAACGCGGCCCACGCAACGCCGGGTTCTGTCCAGCCCACCGGCCGGGACGGGACTTTACATTTTTAAACGCTTGGGGAGGGGGCGGGAGTCCATCGAAGAGTAATAGTTCATGGCGTGTGGGACTCGGGTGAAATTCAGAGTCCATCAGTGGAGTCCAGTGGCCACATGCGCCGCTCGGCCTTTGGGCGCTGTCCCCGGCGCCCCGCGCTCCCACGGCGGGGCTGAGCAGGCGCGTCCCAGACGCCGTCCAGAAAACCACACGCCCTCGGACCCTGAAAGATGTGCCGTCTGGGTCTTTGCAGAAAAAGCGCGCCGCCCCCACCCGCGGTCCTGAACGGAAACCGGTGGGGAGAAGGGGCCGGGCGGAGTCCGGGGCTGTGGACACTGCCCCAGCGCGAGGTTCGGTTGGAATTCGAAAGATCGCCCACCCCATCTCGCTGGTCACTGGGGGCCAGAGGGGACTCGGGAGGGGAACAGACCCGGTGGCCTGGCTGGTCACAGGTAAGCCTCGACGCTGAGCAAACGTCAGGAACCCCGAAACGGCCGCCTCTGGACTGGGGAACCAGTGGGGGCCAAAGGCGGTTACAGGAAGCCACACGGCCTTTACTCTCCCGGCCCCACTCGTCTGCACTCGGAGATAACCTTCTTTCCTTTTTTGGCTGAGCCTGATTTTCTCAAATTAAGAAGAAAATCTTAAAATTCACATTTTGCCATAGAAACGGGCTCCGGGTCCCGCTCCGAGGCGACGCGGAAGCTGGGAGATTCCGTTCTCAGCGGGCGACGTCGGTTTTCAGGAGGACGGCAGCTATGGGCCCAGATGGCGGAGACCCGTTTAGAGAAGAAGGTTCCGGAATCTGAACGATGAGGACAAAACAGAAGTGACATTATGCCAAAAACGCAAGGAAAAACCGCAGAGCCTGACTCCTGGGTGGAACTCTGCGTGTTCCGGAAGCCGAGGCCCTTTCCACTGACACCAGCCCACATCCCGGCCGGGGACTCCAGCCCTCCAGGCCCCGGGGGAGCTGTGGGACCCCTTCCAGGCCCTGCAACTGACAGGCAGCCAAACGACCCATGTCTCGGAGAGGAGCCCCACACCCGCCATCCCTGTTTTTGTCACCTGCTGGTCATGTCCTCCGAATCCCCGCCGAAGCCTTCCGGCCAGACCGTGCCTGCTTCCCTTGCTCAGAGCCCGGCCAGCCAACAGGCCCAAAAGACCATGAGGAAGGAAAGGAAATGGGGGTGGGAGGGGCTGTGGGGACCCTATATTCACTCTTTCAGAAAGAACCCAGAAGTGCGGGCATGGATGTGGAGGACCGAGGCCTGGCCGGACCTGCCCACGGACCCCACCGTTCACTGTTGTCGCTGTGGTGGCGGCCGTTCTAATAACAGTGACAGTTGTGGAAGGCACCGTCATCTCTCCCAAGCCGGGGGCTCTGAGGGGCTGAGTGAGTCTCGGCCTGACTCCATGCTCCTGTGTCCCATAGGCTGTGCGTCCCAAAGGTACCCTGTCCCAAGGCCCATGCATGGGGCTCTTCCCAGGCGGTGCTGCTGGGCCCCGTCGCATACAGCTTCTACTGAGCGTGCATCCAGCTGGCCCAGCTCCGGGGGCCACTGAGAACCCAGGCTCCTTCCCTACCTGCCAGGCCCTCCCCAGGTGCGCATGGTGGGCGTCGGGAGAGTCGGCAGGAGGCTGCCACCCCACCCCGGGGGAAGGCTGGTCCACGGTCCCCGGAGTTCTGGGAGCCCCCGCAGGGCGGCCTCCTGTCCCCTGCCGCTGTCCCTGGCAGCGTATGTGCCAAGAGTGAAGAGCTTCAGGGAGCGGAGGGGCGGGCTTGTGGGGCTGCGGGGTGCCCGGTGGTGGCGCCCGCTCGGGTCCTGCCCCCTCGCGTCCTCTGCACCAAAGTTGGGGATCGCTCCCCTGAGTGATGTCCGAGCGCCCTCTGGTGGTCGCGGAGGGAGAGAGCAATGGCTCCCTGGGTTGGCATCAGATATTCCCCCAAAACACGGGAAGTACCACGGCACAGAGGGCAAGGGTCAGCCCCCAGACGGCGGCGCCGAGACCTGCCGGGTGCAGTCGGAGCGGGCGGTGCCACCTGGTCCCGGGTTCCCTCCCAGCCTAGTGGCCCCGGTTGAAGCTCAGCCATCGCAGCCGCCCCCAGGGCACCAGGCCTGGCCAGTAAGACAAAGGATAACATTATTCTTAGATTTCAGTGGTGAAGGGGGGCGGAGGCGGGGCATGACTGTGCTGGGAACTGAACCCCGGATCTGTGAGACTAGGGGCTCTGTGCTCTGGCTCTGTAGGAATGCGGGGCGGCCTCACACCCCATTCCTGTCCTCGGTCCCTTTACCGAGCTGGGGACCTACAGGTCCTCCTCCTGGGGGGAGGAGTGAGACCCTCACTTGGCGGCCCGGCCTGAAGCAGGCCACTCGTTTCTGTGGCCCTCAGCTTCCCTCTTGGAAACGCTGTCCACGGCTTGGGGAGAGCGGATGACCTGTGGGGGACAGGGCTGTGGCAAGGACAGGGCCACACACTCGGACGGCGGCCTCGCTGAGGAGCCCTGGAAAGTTCTACCCACACATCTCTTCTTTAAGGGCGCGCAGTGCCTCCCCCCGTCCCCCAGAGGCCACGGTGGCCCCACCGACCAGCCCGTGGATTGGGGTAGGGCCTCCACTCGCTCACAGGGAGGTGAGGCCGGGAACCCAAGGGTCCCTTAAAGCTCACAGATGCTCCTGCTCGCGGGCAGGGTGGCTCCTGCGTCCGTCCTCAGGCCTCACCTGGATCCAGGTGAGATGCCGAAGAAGTCTGTCCACACACAGAAGGCGAGCTGACCGCCTTGGAGGTGAGGGCGCCCTGACTCATCGCTAATGTCACACATCGGCTGTCCCCGGAGTGGCCGTGGCCCAGCCCAGGGCCGGGCAGTGTCAGAGGACACAGAGGGACAATGACATAATGAACAGCGATTGGCCGGTCCTTCTGGTGTGGCCTCTGGGGGACCCCATTGTCAGAGGGAGAGAGAAGTGGCCGAGGTGTCCCCCCCAGCCAGCCCCAGGGTCCAGTGACATAAGGAAAGCACCCTCTTCACACACTCCCGGGGCCGGAGGAAAGCGCCCGGGTGAGAACCCTCTGTCCCGGCCACTTCCAGCCAGAAACTTTCCTCCGGGCGGCTCCCAGAGCCCAGGCCACCCAACGCCAGTCCGAGGCCACGGCAGGTGTCAGTGCGGGCTCCGACGGCACGTGGGGAGCCACCCTTTCGGCTCTCCTCCCCTTGTTTAAGGAAGAAGCTTCAGGAAATGAACTCTAACAGGTTGACGCTTGTCAGATGTCCGGCACACACCCCACAAGGGAACTGCGCCTCACGATCGCCCCCGCGCGGCAGCCACCGCGAGAAGCATGTCCTCGACCCACACACACCCGCGTCCCGAAGGCCGAAGCTTCGTGCAACACCTGTACCCTCTGTGCCTGCGGTGCACGCTGACGCTTTCATTCTGTCTGCTCCGATCAGGCGACTGACTGACGGATTTCATGACCGGCCCGTCAGTTGTGGGCAGCGGTCTCAACATCCCTGCTCTGCATTGCCCAGGGCCGGGTCATGGTGAGAGGAGGAAGTGGGCAGGACGCCTCCTCCAGGCAGCACTCGGCACTGTGCCACGCTCCTCCAGGAGCCGACCGGAGGCGGAGGGACCGGTCCCGCTGTGGCCTAGCTCTCCCTCAGGCCAGCTAAAGCCCCAGGTGTGCGTCCCCCGGCGCAGGCGCGGACTGCCTCACGGCCCCTTCCCTGCCTGCCCCCTGCCCAGCTCTCGGCCCTTCCTGGGGCTGGAATCTTCCTTTCTCCCCGAGTGGCCATGAGGCTGGGGCCAAAGGATGCCAAAAAGAAGGGGGAGCAGGCAGGAGCTGAGTACCCAGTGCTGGGGCGAGAAGGGGAAACTGAGTCACGCCCAGGCTGCAAAGGTGGGAGTGGGTGCTGCCCAGAGCCCCTGCCCCACAGAGCCGGCGTCCACCCCGTCAGGCAGTGAGTCCAGTAAGTGCCCAGCCGTCGGCAACGCCGGCAGCGGAGGCAGGGGCTTGGCCCTCGCTGGGACCGGGGAAAGCTGGGGTGCGTCCACCCCCGACAGGGACGGGGCTACGGGGGTTCGTAGAGATACACAGATCTGCTCCCTCTCTTTCCCCAGCTCTGTGTAAGGAGCGCACTCTCGTCGTTCAGAAGAATGAACTTGTTCTTAAATTTGCAGAGCTGAGATGCTGCCCGTGTCCTCGGGCCTTCCGTGGTTGGTGGCCTGCGCCACCCCCTCCCCGCAGCCCCCCACTCCCCCGGCGAGGCTGCCCGTGGCTGTCGGGACTCCCCACCCCTGCACCAAGGGCACGGGACAGGCAACCGTGGGGACCCCGCACGACGGCTGCCAGGTCGCAGCCAGCCCTGGCCCCGTTCCATCGCTTCCCAGGCCTGTAATTTAATTTAAAACAACCCGGTGTGCCACCGCCATGTGGGCCCCGGACATCTGCAGAGGCCCAAGTTGTCCCCGACCCAGCAGCTGCGCACCTGCCTCCCCAGCGGTGCGTGGAGCTATTTATAGTTAGCGCTCTTGCCGGTCCTGAAGGCTAGGTGTTCAGTCAAAAACGAGCTTTTTTAGGTCAGGGAAATGAGTTTAAAAATACTTTTGTCTGCCTGCGAGTGTGCCAGGCAGAGGGGGACAGGCTTTGCTATCTTGAGCGACGGGGTGACTGCTCCAGATGGGCCCTCTGACACGGTAGGGCAGGTGACCTGGCTGGCACCCACCCCCAATAGCACACCTGGTCACCCCGCGCTCCCCGGCCAGCTCTCTCAGAGGCCCCAGCTTCCAGGGACCTGGGGAGGCTTCCCCAGCTGGTCCCACGTCCCCTCTGCCGCCTGTGACCTCGGTCCCCACGTCCACCGCAGCCCCCAGGGGCAGGCCAGGGCCCAGGGTGGGCTTGGGGAACGGCCAGGCCCCCGTGGCTCCCCATCCGGCACCACAGGAAGGCACGGGGTGTGTGGCTCGCCACCCAACCTGGGCCAGGTGTCTGAGGGCGTGAGTGTGTGCGTGCGCGTGTGGTGAGCTTAAGTGAGACTGTGCGTCTGCATCTGCATGTCAGAGAGGTGGGCGCAGGGGGAGTCTGACCTGGGGGAGGCTGGCCGCACGCCGAGTTAGAGCAGGGTCCCCGACCACACCAAGTCCAGGACACCCAGGCCCAGTGACCAAGAGCTGGAGCCGGCTGGGCTATGGGCGCTATGTCCCCCAGGAAGAACACGAGCAAGGCCCCTCTGAAACACCGAGCCTCCTCTGAGGACAGGTTCGGAAACAATGGGACAGGCGAGGTGGGGGGCGCGGGGGCACTGGAGGGCCGGAGGAGGCAGGGGGCCGGGCGGAGGGCGAAGGCACGGGCACTGACTGTCCCGTTTCCTGGCACAGATGGCTGAGGAGTGCAGATAAGTGTGTCCACCCCACGTCCTGGTGTGCACGTTGGAGGACGCAGGCATGGGGCTGACCGGTGTTTGCTGGGGCCCGGTCTTGGGTGTCGGTCAGTCCCTTGGTTGATAGGTATCTATCAAGGTCGACAGGTGTTCGTAAGCCTGCTGGACGCTAAGGAACGCCCTAACCCAGTGGTCCCCAATCTTCCTGGCACCAGGGACCGGGGCTTCTATGAGTCTAACGCCTGAAGATCCGAGGCGGAGCTGAGGCGGTGATGCCGGCGCTGGGAGCGGCTGCAGATCCAAACGCAGCTTCGCTCGCTGGCCACTCACCTCCTGCTGTGCGGCCCGGGTCCTCACAGGTCAGGGACTGGTTCCGGTCCCCGGCCCAGGGGTTGGGGACCCTGCCCTAAAGAATCCACATTCTTCCTTCGAGTTT